TATTTGATGAGTTTGGGATAAATATGGGTATGTTCTCCTGTTTTGTAAATTAACGTCAATGCCTAAATATTTTTATTTTTAAATGATAAATTTCAATCATAGAATTAAGAATGGTGTAATAACAAATGAAAACATTGTTACTTGTCCTACAATAATATGAGTAGAATCCATAGAATTATTGCTTGCAAAACTTCAATCACAAGAATTTTCCTTCTTTAAAGTCAAAGTGATTTCTGGGGCTGGCCAGGTATTAAATACAGTATATACTAATTTATTCAAAATTCTTTATCAAAATTAAATTTTCTTAACAATAGCAACACAATACAGAAGTATATAATGGTCTACTACTTTACGATTCATCTTAAATTTGCCAAATTCATTAGCTATTAATTAAAAAGTTAATAAAGTATTCGCAATCACAAATTCTTCAACATGGAAAGATTCAAGTATCTCACTACAATGCAAGAATTTGGAAAATTAATTGGTGAACCAGATGTATTGGTATGCATTAGTGGTCTTAAGGACTTTGAAAGGTTTACTGGTAATCAAAATTTAAAGGTTATTATTGAAATTAAAATTTGTTATAGTATTTATGACTTTTAATAAATAATGACATATTTTTAATTATTTTCTTTTAGATTTGCCTTCGACCTCCATCTTTATATCTTCAAACATCTAGAATATCTCTAGTTAGTTCATTTCTTCAATATTTCTTAGTAATTTGGCTCAAATAATATTACAGATGGATTATAAATGAATCTACTTGACATAAATACAAAAAATTTGAATAATAGATTATTAAATATTTGTAACAAATATTCTGCTTGCACTTGTGAACATAATGTTAAATTTAGTAAAGAATTAAAGGCAAAGCTTGGAGTTCCTGAAAGTGATATATTAAAAATTCTAGAAATATTGGTCATAGATTTACAATATATTTAATCTTTAACACAGTTACTGTATAAACTCGAAATAACACCCAGGGCGTTATTTTGGATTTTGGCCAGAATTGAGCTTAATTTAGGCCAAGATTTGAAATTACGCCCTGGGCATTATTTCGGTATATAATTTTTCACCTATATTGTAAAATAATTCCTTTTATAGGTAACAACCCCGCAATCCTTCTTTCTCTATAACTAACATCAAATAAGATAATAAAAAGGATAGCAATTCTGCAAAATGTAAGTGGTTCAATGAGATTTTCAGCTTTATTATCA